GTACCATGCTGGTGTGGCCGCGGGAAAGTACTGTGCTGGTGTGGCTGCGGGAAGGTACGTGCTGGTGTGGCTGTGGGAAAGTAACGTGATGGTATGGCTGGGGGGATCCCTGTGATTGTTCTTTCAGTGCAGAATCAGGGTGAACACTAAAGTCCAACAGTGGCAGAATCACCAGTGGCATACCTCCATGCAGTGCAGCCATTTAAAATAAAAATATGTTTATTTCAAAATCAACATTTACTCTAAAACTCTTGGGAAATAGTAATCGTCTCTTGCGTAAAAGTATATAGCAACACAGAAAAACCACTGTATTATCTTTAGTTTTGGGGTCTTTTTGTTGTTGTGGTGGTGGTTGTTGTTGAGACAGTGTCTCCCACTATTGCCCAGGCTGGAGTGAAGTGGTGCTATCTCAGCTCACTGCAGCCTCCACCTCCCAGGCTCATGGGATCCTCCTGCCTCAGCCTCTTGAGTAGCTGGGACTACAGCCATGTGCCACCACACTGGGCTAATTTTTTTGTGTGTGTGTTTTTGGTAGAGGTGGGGGTCTCACTATGTTGCCCAGGCTAGTCTCGAACTCCTGACCTCAAGAGATTCACCTGCCTTGATCTCCCAAAGTGCTGGGATTACAGGTGTGAGCCACTACACCTAGCCATGTTTAGTTTTTTAAATCATACCCACTTTATTTTATGCAATCATGATAAATGATCATATAAATATGAATCAAGGCCTAGAAGAAAAAAGAGGACAAATATTTTAACATTTTTGAGAAGATAAAATAAGAGGAATTATTTTTCTTTGCTTTGAAATTCCATCAGTTGAGCTCACATTTGTTTAATAATGACAATAGGAATAGTCCTATGAGAGCCTCCTGTTTAGACAATGCCATGGCCGGGCCTGATGGCTCATGCCTGTCATCCCAGCACTTTGGGAGGCCAAGACAGGTGAATCTCCTGAGCTCAGGGGTTTGAGACCAGAGTGGGCAACGTGACAAAACTCTGTCTCTACCAAAAATACAAAAAATTAGCCAGGTGTGGTGGTGTGTGCCTGTAGCCCCAGCTACTTGGGAGGCTGAGGTGGGAGGATCTCTTGCGCCTGGGAGGTGGAGGTTGCTGTCAGCCAAGATTGTGCCACTGCACTCTAGCCTTGGTGACAGAGTAAGGCCCCATCTCAAAAAAAAAAAAAAAAAAAAAAAAAAAAAAAAAAAAGACAGTGGCTATAAGATGAATCTTGCTAACTCAACTCTGATGTGGCACAGGTATTAACCATGGACCTGTCATAGCTGGTGTAATTGGAGCTCAGAAGCCGCAATATGATATCTGGGGCAACACGGTCAATGTGGCCAGTAGGATGGACAGCACTGGAGTCCTGGACAAAATACAGGTAATGAAGTGAGTGGTCTGTGCTGCCTCCATGAACCATGTCTGTTCTCTTGGGAACCATACATAAGTATATACTAACATATTAACACAAAGGAAAAAAAGTAAACCTTGAAATTTACTTAAATCTTTTGGGGAACAATTTACTAACATCTGGGGAAATGTTTCTGCGTTAACTGTTAACACCACCAAAATTCTAACAGTATAAAGGCTATTGCACTTGTGAAAACAAATGATCTAGCAGTGACCAGCATGATGGTACAGCAACCCTGAGCATTCAGCACGGGAGTGGCGCCTCTTCCGCCTCTATCACTTCTCCTGGTGCCAGGAGAAAAGGACTTTGCAAGCGAGAGGGATCAGGCAACCAAAACCAGACAATCCCCAGCCTTCTTCACGCAAGCTGAATTGGGAGGAGGGGGAGTGGGAGGCCGCGGAGAAGCCGGACATGAAATAGAAAGTCGATCTGAATGGCGGCTGTGGACCCCGCCCAACGGGGAGGAAGGAAGGTCTGACAAATGAAAAGCAGTGGCTGGAGAAAACGGAAATTATTCTGTGTGACTATTCCTGTTGCTCATTAAATCAATTATAATCACGGTTAAAGTAACTATATTACAATAGCACTGATAATATCACACTTTTAAAAGCATTTTGAAATAACTGAAAAGATAATAGAGAAAAATGTGTTATTAGAACTACGCTGAAACTCTCCCCAAGCTACAAAGGAGCAGTGGTTCAGCCCAGGTTGGCAGTAACAGAATCAAGGAAGAACGGGAAAGAGGAAGAAGGCAGGCTACGAAGACGGCCACTCTGTCGAGTCTGCCCTTCCATTCATGCAGCACCTGCGTCCCGCGCTCCTCCCTGTGCTGATTAGGTGCTGCGGCTAGAGCGTGCGCCAGTCAGACTCACTCTGCCCTTGCACAGCCAAGGTTCTCTTGGAGGTGACGGCTATCCCCAGAAGTCATAGTGGTGTCGCTGCAAGCGTGACTGTGCTGGAGGACTTCAGCTTTCCTGTGTGACTGGGGAAGGCTCTGGAGAACTGGACTTTCAGACGACAGGCTGTGCGAGGAAGAACGGTGTGGACCTGGAGACAGTGCGTGAAGACCACCTTTCAGAGCTGATGCAGCAGAAGGGGAAGGGAGCCCAAGGCTGCGTTCCAGGACTGCGCTGAACGCAGGCAGTGCTCGCAGGAAGAACGGAGTGAGGAGGGCAGTGAAAATAAAGGTGGTCTGAGGTTCCCCTGGTGAAGGAGGGAGACTGGACCAGCGTGTGAGCTCACAGCTGAGTAGCAACATCTGCAACATTCATGGAGAAAAGTGAAGAAAGAAGGGTGCAGGAGCAGAAACAGGAAGCTACGATTCCTTCCAGGATTCCGAAGAACAAAGAGGAACTCAGCGAAGAGAAGAATAATAACAAGATAAAGAGGCTCATGTCATTATAATTTTAATCTGCAATGATTTTATACTCTTGGATAATATAAGTAGAATGGTAAACATGTTCACGAGGTTTAGATGTAACTTTAAATTTATTTACAGCAAAAGCCATTTTGTACCATGGTTTGGAAATTTTGCTTAAACTGTGGTTAGGGATTATCTTTTTAATCGTTATCATTCAACCCACACCCAAATCCAATTAACATGTTTTGGTTAGTACTAGAAGTTCCTTCAGTTCTGCCATTGTTAGACTAAGAAGCTATGCTGAAGCCCGTCATCATAATGACACATGACACGCCAGTGTAATATGTGTCCCCCTCAGAGGCACACACATCCAGTAACACAGATGATGTTTCAGTGAAGAGCCTGGAGATGCCAAGGTTTTATGGTCCTCACCTGCAGGTGCACCTGAGCGGGCACAGTGCAGACACCCAGAGAGAAGGGCTGGATCTGCCAGTAAGAAGCACATGTGCACGTGTGTGTACGTGCGTGTGCGTGTGTCTGTGCAGAACACTCTATTTGCCTCACTCTCGCAAAGCAGTGGATTCACATTTCACCCCCGTCATGTTACATTCTGGAAGAGGAATTCCTGCTAAATGGCAAATTTATATAAAGTCACCGGACTCACAATAGGTTTATCATGGTGGTCCTCTTTGAGGCTTTTGATGAATCCCTATAGTGTGCGTCTCAGCTTAGCCAAGGTGTGCGAATAGCTTTGCCTCCTAAAATTGACTGCACGGACTGGCACAGTCCTTTCCTCTGTAAAAGACTGTCCCTTCCATTGTTGTCAGAATGGGTTTTTTATTAAACCTCCACTTACCTGCCTTTCATATTTACCCCACCTCACTTGTTGCTGTGGTTTTTCTAAAGGATAGCTTTAATTTTTGTATGGAATAGAGGGAACGTTACTTCTAAGCGTCTGCCTTTTTTTACTCAGATTATGAGTCAACACTTGCGGCAAAGTAAGTAAAAGTCCAACAGAGAGAAGGCAGAGATGAAAGAGAAAACTAATGGGAGGTGGGGAGGAAATATTCCACCCAAACTGGCCATTGCCAAGGATCTGCTCACGAGATCCAACTTGGAATGAGTTTTCAGCACCTGCTCCAGCCATCTCCCCTCTCACTGCTAGGGTGCACAATGAGGCTCTTCTCCCTGGGGCTGGAACTGTGGTGGTCATCTGTGGAGAGTGCTCAGTTGCCCAGCCAGAGCAAGACTTGTGGGGCATTTTGGAGCCTAGCCTAATCATTTCCTGATGGTACCAAGGCTTCCAGGACTTTCTGCATAAACATCCCTAGCCACTTCCAATGCCCAGGGATGCTCCAGCAATGCTGGACAACCCAAATTCTTCTCTTGGCAGGGAGGAGAGGCCTGCCCCTTCCAAAGACTCACTTTCCCACCTGCCGGCCAGCCCATATCCCCAGCACACACCCGGAATATTCTGAAGACTTATGGCAGCAGTTAATATGCTCTCTAGCTCCCCAAGCAGCTTTCAAGCACTTGGGATAAGTATCAAAAGCAATTTCAGTGAGGCGGGTCAGGGAAAGCGTTCCCTCCTGGAGATCATAAATCTCCTACAGGTCAGTGTTTGAAATGAGTGTGAGCTCGTGTGTGTCTTGAAGAGGATACTAGGCTTCATAAAGCCCCATGTGACTCAGGGCAGGTCAGCCACCTGCCCTGGCTCCATGGCCTCTGATCCCCAGAGGGAAGGAAGACAGGTTTCTGTCTGTCAGTAGTGAGCCATATTTGTAGACCTGTGTTTGCTTCCTTAGCACAAGAGCTGGAAGGGCTGCATTTGGGTGGGTTTTTCTATTCCAAGGGTGTGGTGTGGCTGGCTTCCTCACTCCAGTAAGCTCTCTTTTCCATTTATGTGCAAAAAAAAAAATAGTAGTGAGATGCCAGGAAAATAAAAAATGATGCCCAGACCATTAATCAGCTTCTCCTAGGCCTGAGGAACAGGTTCTTTTTATTAAAGAACATTTAACTCCCAGCAAGCTTTCTAGCGTGGAAACCTCAAGAACAGCAGAGCAAGCCCACTCAGCAAGCCTGCGGGCTCCTCCTAGGCCTGGAGGCATAGTAACTGTGTGCGTCAAGATGGACGGCTTCTTCCTCCCATTCCCGTTAATCCTGCGGTGCTGATCGGCGGGCGGCTTGGCATTATGAACACCAGTGGATAGTTTAAAAATGCCAGTGATGTTAGCACCAGTAAATACCTCAACAGTTAACCCCCAAAGCACCAAAAGATTGGCTTGTTCTCTGTGTGGAAGGTCACTCGTCCGATGCCTGCAGAATTTCCAAACCTGAGTTTCTAGGTTTTCTCCATCTTCTTTCAGCTCTTATCCAGTACACGAAGTACTCCCTGGGCTACTGCCCTCCTCCTGGAACTTGGGCTGGACTAGAGCAGCAGGACATGGCATCTGGCTCCTGTGTCTCATTTTCCTTTCTGCCCTGCTCATCAGGGTCCCGAGGACCTACACTTGGGCCTTGTGCTCAGAGCTGTCCTTCACATCACATTGCAGAAAGGTGGATGATTCTTTCCACCCTCTCCCACAGCCCGCCCTTGAGATCTGTGCATGGACTTTGCCATGGTTCTGGGCTTCCCTTGAGGCCCCTCTCTGTCTCCAAGCCCAAGGAGGCTGGAGCTTTGCTGTTGACAGGACCCCACCTTTGCACCAACCCTGGGCCACACCACAGCCAAAATTGTGACATAACACTACTATATGCTGTAACAACACTGCTGTGTGCCACAACAACGCTGCTGTGTGCCATAACAATGCTGTGTGCTTGCAAGCTGCCCAGCCCTGCCACACCCACCTGGCACAGGTCTGTCACCCAAGTACCTGGTGGCCAGGGTCTCACAGGTGCCCTTGCTGCAGCTGTGCCAGGTGGCCTTCTCAGATGAAGTGGGAGGAGGTCACTCCTTTGTGCTTTTTTCTCTTGGTTCCGAAGCAGCAGTACCAGGGCTTTCTGTCTGGCCAAACTCAGACACCTTCTAGCGGAGTCTTGGTGGAGGACCAGGTAGCCCATAAAGGGGTCTGTCCTGGCCTCAGAAGCGGAGGCCTCGCCCTCACACCATGCCTGTGTGCCTCACTGCTTCTCTGCTCTTGCAGCTCCTCCCACCCTCAGGCAGACCAAGCCTGGGCAGGCGTGGGCCGCAGTTCCAGACATGGTGTCCCAAGGAAGGCGCAGCACACGTGGAAGCTGAGCGCGTTCGAGGCTCAGTATGGGACAGAGCATCTAAACTGAGGAGGAAGCGTCCCAGCCAGGGAGTTCACTGCCATCTGACCTGCAGGGCCGGGACAGGGATCGGCAGCCGGGCCCTCGCCTGTTGGTGCAATGGCAGGAAATTGGTAGTCATGTCAAGTCAGCAGCATGCAAGAGGGCTGCCCACCTCGGCCCTTGTGTCAGTGCAGTGAAGTGAGGGGACCTTTGACACTCGACTGAGAGCGTCACACTCATGCAGATGCCAGCACTCACATGCATCACACCTGTCAGATGTGGCCACTTGCGGGGATTGATCGTGCTGTTTCTCAGGATGTTTCTCCCATCGACACCAAAATCTATTATTAATATTGATGATTTCATGAAAGGACATTCATGACAATTTATAAACATCATCCAGAATCCCACCACTCCAACCTAGTTTGATGTACTCTCTTTTTTCCAGGTATCTTCCATGTGAAAACCTAACACCATGGGGTTGAAATCATAGCCTGGAGGTCCCAGGCTCAATTCCTTTTCTGGGTGACATGGTTCAATATTGTCTCAGCCGTGATAGCAGTCATGGTAGCACCATAGTTTACTGGAGTTACTTGAATTTTAGGTTGTTTCCAGGTTTTCCCTATCACAGCGCTGAATTAAACAATATTGTCCTTTACAATATTGGAATTTTCTTCTTGTGAATTACTTTCTTTTCTGCTAACGTCTCAGGAGTGGAATTTCTGGGTCAAAGAGCATGGTGCTTTTTTTTTTTTTTTTTTTTTTTTTGGCTCTTCATCCTTGAGGCAGATGGGTTGTATCAGTGTCAGTACTAAGCCCATTTTCCTGTGTTTCTGTGCCTTCTAGGTCACTGAGGAGACAAGCCTCGTCCTGCAGACCCTCGGATACACATGCACCTGTCGAGGAATAATCAATGTGAAAGGAAAGGGGGACCTGAAGACATACTTTGTAAACACAGAAATGTCAAGGTCCCTTTCTCAGACCAACGTGGCATCCTGAAGAGTCACCTTCATTTTGGCAAGAAGACTGTATTTCCAGGAAGTTACCACACACTTTCTGACTGCAACTTCTGTCCCTTGTTTTTGATGTGCGTGCTCTGTCTGTCCTATGGAGCCTCTGCAGACTCTTTCCCATGACCCAGTGGCATACCGTTTGGTGTCTGACGTGTGCCCAGATCGTTCTGCCACTTGCACTGTGCTTGCTCCTAAGCAAAAGGGAAAAGGAGCGTGCATGATAGAAGAAAAGCATCCAGAGAACTAACAAAGAGGAGAGAGGTGAAACACACACACACATTCTTAAGGCAATAAAACTAGGGGGTGTATATTATCTTCTGGTGCATGTTCTTTTCTGGAAAATAACATAGCTCGCCAACCACATCCGCTCGTCTGATACTCAACCACACAGTATTCGTGAATAAGTTGATTCTGTCCCCCACATGGAGTCTGTGCTTACCTGTCATCTCATTGCCAGTGGTGTCCAAGGGCCCCCGTTGGGACCCACGGCTCTCGTCCCTCTGCTCCATGTGCCTCATGCCAGCAGCACGTCACCATCCATCACCAGAGTTAGTCCTCACAGCCTAGGACCAGTTTTGTACCAGACTCGTCTGATGTTTTGATGCCATTTGTCTTTTGTAAAGTTAATTCATTAAAAGTTTTACGTACTTTGATTTACAGTGCCTGTATCTTATTTTCCTGTCTTCTTTCTCCTGTGGTTTGCTCCAGAATTCAAGTTTGTTTTCCATCCATTCTCCCTTTTGACACAGTTGATTCAGAAAGAGCTCTCCAGAAGCCAATACTGAGAGGTAATTCAGATTAGGACACAGTGTGTGACGCAGATAATTTGGTTACTCAGCTCCCTGGAAAGCGGGCAAGCATGCTCAATGTACCTAGTGGTCTGATTTTAATTTGGGCATCTCTAGAGAACATATTCAGGGAAAAATACTTTAACAGTAAAAAGATTCCCTGGGAGCAACAGTGCCCCCTCTGTCCACTACGCTCCTGTCTACAGGAAGAATGTTTTGTTAGAGCTAACAGACATAGACTGCAAAAGAATAATTTGGAAGAAGCTATGCAAATCAGTCTCACAACAGCGTGAACTAACTGCTAGAAGTACTAAGTCCCACTAACTGCCTGTTACGTCTGAGAAGGCGAAAGAAGACACACAGCCAACGCTTATGCATTTTTAAAGGCAGAAGACCTTGAAGAATTTGTTCTTGTAAATCCAACACAAGTTGTTTCGTACTTTTAACATAAAGAAATCATACTTTGCCAAATAGTGAAAAGTAGAGCAATCGTGTGTAATCTAATGTTTAAAAGCAAAACTGCAAATCATAGCCTAGTTGATCAAACTTGTTTTCTTTTTATAGCTCATGGCAGGCATCTGTAAGAGGCAGAGGACCCAGATGACCTCATAGGAAGCCTGTTATTCGTGGGAACTCGAACTTGAAGCACAAGTCCCTGGTTTGATTCCTGGCTCTGATTTTTTACTAGCTGTGTGACTTTGAACACATCTCTTAGCCCCTCTTAGGAGTACTTTCCTTATTGGCAACTCGTGGGATCGGTAGTGATTAAATGAGGCAATGACTGTGAGCAAGGCTGGCAGGTGCCCTGTGGCATTCACAGCATGGTGCAACTGCTGTGCCAGGACTGTGATTCATTCCCGGTAAAAAGCATTTACAGAAGCTGATAACCGTCCCTCATCACCAAAGTGTGAGTAGAGCATGACTTATTCAGTATTCTGCTTCAATCGAGAATTTTTTGATCCTGTAATCACAACTCGGCATTGGCCTTAATATACCCAAATCTCCAATAACAGTCATTGAAGCAAGAGAACTATTCCAAAGGCATTTCTGTTCCCTCTAACCGAAATCTGGACTAGGATGCCATTGCGTTTCCGTGAGCTCAAACTGCTTTAGAATTTATAAGATGAGCAGCAGACGTGCCTCGTAGGTTCTTCCTCCCTTACCATCCTAACTATACTCATCCTCAGGTCACCTTAGGTCATCTATCCTGAGTGAACACCCCCAGCTGAGTGATCCACCAAGTTCTCATAAACAGAGTCCCTACCACTCCCCCAAGGGATGCACTGAACTTGAGTTTGTGCTGAAAAGAACTCAAAAGGAGAATTGTGCTCTCCCAAAGCCATGTCACCAGTCCTACCAAACAATAGGCTTTTAAAAGCAATCAGAGTCACTGTCAGAATCCACTGTGGGAAGCTCCATGTGGGCCCTTCTAGGTGTGGTCCCATAGCAGCAGCCTTAGCATCACCTGGGAACTTGTCAGAAATGCAGATTCCCAGGCCCCAACCTGAAGGAGGACCCTGAATCTGAAATCCCTGGGGTGGGGGACCAGCACAATCATTGTCTAGTGAACAGGTTCCCCATGTGATGCTGATCCCTGATCAAGCTTGAGCACGCCCTCCTTCCCTCCCCAGTGTTTCTGCAAATGAGGAAACAGGGGCAGAGTAGCTCAGGCACATGTGTTCAGAGTTCCACAGCTGGTTAGCAGTCGAGGCCAGGCTAGAGCGGAAAGCTGCCTGTTCCCTGAATCTGAAAGAGCATTCATCCTGGTCAAAGCTCCTTAAAGCTCTGAGCAGCTAAAAGCATCCCTGTGAGCAAAAATGCCACGCAGAAAACCTAAAGGGCACCGCTTATCAGCCCAGGTCCCAGTGCCATTGGTTTCAAGAAGAAACCTCTCCCTAATGCTCTCCTTAACCTTAGTCTTACAGGAAGCCTCTCATGAAAATTGCCTCTAGTCCAGTTGCCGAAAAACCCCAGTGTTTTATGTATCTGTTTAGAAATGTCTAAGTTTCATCATCAATCCACAATGTTATTTTTCCTTCCCAATTCAATCTGCTCCTAAAGGCAGAACCATTCATCTTTCCTCTGCTCGGATACATGAATGACCAGGAAACATCATCAGGCCAGGTGCAGTGGCTCATGCCTGTAACCCTAATATTTTGGGTGGCCAAAAAGAGAGAATCACTTAAGTCCAGGAGTCTGGCCCGGGCAACATAGCGAGACCACATCTCTACAAAAAATAACAATATTAGCTGGGGATGGTGGCAGGAGCCTGTAGTCCCAGCTACATGGGAGGCTGAGGTGGTCAGCTCACTTGAGCCCAGGAAGTCCAGAATGCAGTGAGCCTTCATTACACCACTGCACTCCAGCCTGGGTGACAGAGCGAGACTTTGTCCAAAAAAAAAAAAAAGAAAGAAAAGAAAAACCTAATTGCCCAGTGATGAAAATTTTATAAACAAAACAAATCATACTATAAGAATATATTATCTTACATACAATGACTTTAACAAGCATTCATTCATTGGCTTTAAATGATAAACATTGGGATACCAACATAAATACACGTAACTTTCTCTTACTGCTTAACAAATGTGAGATCTTTTCAAATCTTGGCCAATTACAGCCCTGCCTATTGAAAGTCAGTATGTAGTAGAAGGTGAAGGGAGTAAGGTCTGACTTAAAGTAAATGACAATAAGTTACTTTGACATCAATTTATTGCAGTCACTTACAGATGCCTTGTCTTTGTTGAAATCAAGTCTGAATAATGAATAATTTATAAATATTTCTATAACCCAAACTTTATATATTTTCTATTATGTTATTATAAATGTGGTATAATGCACCCAAAGGCATTCGAAATAAACGACTGCCATTTGTTTGAAATAAATAAAAGGCACTTACACTGAAAAACTGTTTTCAGAAAAATAAATATTTAGGAGTCACTCAGCCTTGAAATCGCTGGCAATTCAGTGTCATTTATTTTTAGAGAATCCTCTTGGCAGATTCAAAACGATAAAACCAGTGATGGAGGAATCAGCATCGAACTTAATTAGACCACCTGCCCATTCACTGCTAAACTGTGGGAAATTTAATCATGGTAGATGAGAGATGAGTTCTTCCAAGGGATCCATTCATTAAAAACGTAGTTGATGCCTTAATACTTGGGTAAGTTTCAAATTATCTCCAAAGTAAGTATTTTCAACTTAGGTTAAAAGCAACTGCATCCAAAAAGAAGACTGTTTAAAGTCAAGTCACTGCTGTGATGATGGGACCCTGGGCGGGGCATGCACATTGTGCTCGTGTTATGCCTGCAATCTAGCAGCTCACTGCCTCCCAGATGAACTCTTCTAGGTTTGGAAATTCCACTTTAAAGATGAGGACTTGTCTGCTCAAATAGATGACATGACTTGCCCTAGAACACAAATCTAGAAAACGCAGCAGCCAGAATTCTACCCGAGTTCGTTGAACACCAAAGTCTCTTCCCATGACTGGTCCCCTCCCCCTGAGCGGTGACAGTGAACACTGCTGGCCACCAGGATAACAGGGCCACCCATCTTACTAGGGCTCCCAGTCCCAGTTGCAAAAAAATCTATTATTTGTGGTTCATACCTCTGGAACAACAAAAATGTAGTTTCTAGAGTTTGACTGTGCCGACAGAAAATTGTCATTACATCTCCTCTTGGAGGAGGGAACATGTCAGAGTTGTCTGTGTTATGAGGCAGCAGGAGTTCCCATAACTCTTGGGAAACATAACTGCACCTCACTCCTGTGACTGCCTCCCCAGTGAATCCTGGCAAATGTAGACAGCCAGTGAACAAAAACCAACCCAATCATTACTAAGGGGAACAAAGTTTTCATTTTATTCAGGTGCTCACAATGAATCAGTCTCCAGTATCATTTGATCAAAAATAATTCCAGCTAAAGATCATCCTACTAGAGACTCTTCACGTGTACTACAGGTGTTTGCTCAGGCTCCTTACCATGGCAGCCTGAGGGAGGCTGCTAATGTGTTCATGTGCCCACAGCAGAGATGTAACACAGGCATAGCCAAGCTCCTAGATGTCATGAGAAGGGGAAAGAAGGCTCCAGACACCACCTTCTCACTGTAAAACTTTGCCAGCCCACAGGGTATCGTGACACGCCCTGTGGGCCACAGGGATGCTTCAGGCTGGAGCAATGTGCCCAAAGCCAGGTGCCCTGAGGCTGGGGATGTCATTCTTCCTGTAGAAGTCAGCCTGTACGTGGTTGGCGCGGCCGAAGTCCCGGTTTAGGGGTTCAATGGGCTGATTGATGCGCTTCCCATAGACAGAAGACGTCAGCACACCAACCGGCCTCTCCTGTTCCTGGTGAAAGTTGTCAAAGCACATAGTCAGCACCACTGCATTCACCAGCACAGCTCACCCGCATGTCCATCAGCCTCAGTACCGGGAGCTTTTTCTGCCACGGTGGACCAAGAGGATGCCTCCATGCTGAAGCCAGGGGGTCTCCTTCAACTGTCCCAGACCATTTGCTCTACCTGTCTGTCCTTGTGCTCTTTCTGGTCATTTCCCTCTCCTGCTGCTGCTGGTCCCTTCCCACCACCCAGATCCTGGCTCAGATGTCCAGGTCCTCCCTGGCCCCGCCTCTCCCCAGCTCTCTGCTCATCCCTTTCACTTTCTGCATCTCCTCACATCCTCACATGGCTTCCTCTTCCTATATACCACCACTCATCACTACCTAGAATTTGCTCCTGATTTCTTTTTTTTTTTTTTTTTTTCCGAGACGGAGTCTTGTTCTTGTCGCCTAGACTGGAATGCAGTAACGCAATCTCAGCTCACTGCAACATCCGCCTCCCAGGTTCAAACAATTCTCCTGCCTCAGCTTCTCT